GCTAGAGATACGAATTAGGTAATTTTATACGGAAAGCTTACGTGCGTCATTGATTTCCTTCTCATTTTTCTACTTGCCGTATCGATTCCAATTGGTCTGTGGATCCTGAAAACGTGAAAAAAAACGAATAAAATAATAACATGGAAAAGGTCCCTTCATGATGGGTCGTACATCAACAGAATGCGAAGAAGTGTTGCATAGCACCTCATTCAGAGGTCTGGAAAGCATTTTTTCTGACTTTTCCCTTACAACATGTTCCCTTATAAGAAAGTGGGAAATCCGGTATAATTGATTTCTGTCAACCTTCGGAAAGAATTTTGGGCAGACATGGAATTCGGAAAGAATTTTGGGCAGACATGGAATTCGGAGCAGAACTTGAGTATTTTTTTTACCAGCAGCAGAACTGGTCGGGTCGCCTTCTTTCAAAGAGTCTTTTGAGCCGTGCAGTCTAAGCCCTACCACCAACTTACCCGTTTTGAATACTTGTTGAATTTTTATTCTTCTTTTGACAGCTTCCCTAATTATATGATTGGGCTGATGGTATTCTCCTTCATCACTTTAGAAAGCCGGCAGAATTCCGGAAGGGGTAGACCCCACTGCAACCTTTTGTTTTCAAGTAATGCTCAAATTGAATATATTGGACAACTCATATAATTGTTTGGGTTCAAAATGCACTTCTATCGGATGATGAATGGTATGGGATGATGCCATTGTCTACAGTGACTTCATGGGCGGGGACAGTCATCCCCTGTACCTTCCCTACTGATGCGCCGCAAAACGATAAAAGGGAGGATATGCGCAGTCAGCTTGTGGTCCTTCTTTTCTAGGAATGAGTTGTTGTTGACAGCGATTGACCGTCTCCTCCCCTGCCGTAAACTGCGCATTCAAATGGCGTTTTCCTGCAGTCGCTGCTTTGAAACTTGATATCTTCCGAGTCTTTCTTTGTTAGATTCACCCAACTGATTCGAAACTTTAATGGTAGCAATGCTAAGAAGCTCTCCTTTTTCAGGGAATTTATCGAACATGTGGTGTGAAGTCGAAAATCGAGGAGATTTGTGAAGCATTCGAACGATGTGCGGGTGATTCCACCGTCGATCTCGAACATGTACATCCGATGAATCTCGCCTCTGTTGTGAAACTCTACCTTAGGAACTTCCGGAACATTGTGACCTACGAGATGTTATAATGAGTGGAATACGTTTTGGCGCGTGGTGAGTCTATCATGTCACCATTTTATTTCCGAAAATTCTTACAAAATTATTTTTTGACCAGTAACAACGCGGTACGGTACTTTGATGGGACAAATTTTTAATAGCGCGATCAAGAAACCCTCGGGCGGAGGTGAATATTTGGGCAATTGTCCGCATTGGTCTAATGGCGGAGACAGCTATCCACCTTAACTGCGAAACGGCCCCTCTCCTACTGATGGCCATAAGCATTTTAAAGGGCCGCCCGTGTAGGATCATGTTTTGACTTTCTGCAAACGAGACGGTACGTGTAGTAAACGGTTTGGGAATCCCGAAGGTCTAGTTTGCGCATCGTTTTGGTGTGGTAAATTCTGCCACTCCCCCTTTCCGATAAAACGGGTAAGTTGGTGGTAGGGCTTAGACTGCACGGCTCAAAAGACTCTTTGAAAGAAGGCGACCCGACCAGTTCTGCTGCTGGTAAAAAAAATACTCAAGTTCTGCTCCGAATTCCATGTCTGCCCAAAATTCTTTCCGAAGGTTGACAGAAATCAATTATACCGGATTTCCCACTTTCTTATAAGGGAACATGTTGTAAGGGAAAAGTCAGAAAAAATGCTTTCCAGACCTCTGAATGAGGTGCTATGCAACACTTCTTCGCATTCTGTTGATGTACGACCCATCATGAAGGGACCTTTTCCATGTTATTATTTTATTCGTTTTTTTTCACGTTTTCAGGATCCACAGACCAATTGGAATCGATACGGCAAGTAGAAAAATGAGAAGGAAATCAATGACGCACGTAAGCTTTCCGTATAAAATTACCTAATTCGTATCTCTAGCGAAAAGGATGACGCATTGACGTCGCGCATAACATTGTGCTTTTTCATGCGCGACAATTGAACGCTATGACGTCAATACTTAACTCAGTTTACTACCCTCACGCAACGATGAAGCGTCATCAATTGGTCATTTAGGTTTTTCCCTTTCCTTTGAGGATGATTCTCACATCAACAATAATGAGAAAACAAAAACAAGAAAATAAAAACAAAGTCAAAGTCACTGGAACGTGAATGAAAGTAGAAAAGATTGAAGAAAGGACGAAGAATGGACTCTTGCCAGTCAACTCAAAATGTGGCTATGCCTACGAAAACAGGGCACAACATCGTTGTGTGGAACACATAGGGGGGGAGGGGGAGATAATTTTGCACTGGTCGTATTTGGTCGTTGGGGGGTGTCGTATGTGCCTTTCAGAGAAATTTCGCTGCGTTGGGAAAAAATTTTCCTGGTTGTTGACTTTTCGCGTGATTTTTCCTGTTTCATGTGTACTATGTACCCTCGCTCGGCGAAAAACCTCTGGGTAAAAAACTGGAAAATGTAGGAAAGTGGCAGGTAGCTGTTGGGGAAGAGGGGGAGGTCATAGTGGCACCCTCTCTTGGAGGTGTGGGGGGTCGTATCTACACCACCTATTTCACACATCACGATGCTGTACCCTGTACGGAAATGCCAATTTTTATACGCGCGACTCCTTGAATTACAGATATAATCTGGTTGATTTGGTGTGGAAAAAATAGAAAAATTCGTAGGAATGAGGGTCCATCACCGGAAATAAAAAGGACGATTAACTTACTTTTACACGCATTCCTCTCTTTTGAAGTTCGTGAATAGTCGACTCGATGATCAGTGGGATGTTTCGACGTTGCATTTCTAAATGGCCTTCTAACGATACGCCGAAAATGCTCATACGCCGATCACTTGGCCTTGCCGATTGTCCACAAGTTTGTGTCGTCTGAAAAAGTCACACATTTGACCCGGGAAAACGATCAAGGTCAGCGACCAAATCACCAAAGAATTTCGCCTTTGCCCACTTTCAGGCACGTGACTGAGGACTTTTGATTATAGCTGTGGATTGAACCAAAAAATCAGCCGTAGAATATATGTTTAAGGCAGAAATATCTAGAATTGAACTCTAAAGTTCGTCTGTTTATCGAATGTTGGAACAGTTCGGCTTGGCGGGGGCACTAGCAAGCTAAGCTTGTATAGGGCACTTGTGAAGACCTACAAATTCATGTGACCAAAGTGACTCCCTTGAACAATATCGCAGCTTAACAAGTGTTCACGGCACAGTTCGGCGACGGGAGAGGGGGCATTTTGCACTTTTGCTACTTCCCATCGACGTGTCGACCTATCTAGACAGCCTCTTCTCGAGTTGACAGGTTTTACCATGATGGCTTGATGACCTTGCTCCAGCTTCACAAGAGTTCACAGGTTTCACCAGAGTGAATCTGTAAACCGGAACTAGTGAAG